GCTTTAAAATGACTCTGGTTGTGTTGTATTCTCTAAACAAAACATCGAAGCAGGCCAAACCATGAGTTCATGCGCTGGAATCTGAACAACTGCGCTTAAACTCTATGCAGTTAAAAACGACACATTCGGCCACGTCACAGAGTTCTGCTAATTATAACTTAAAGAAACCAATTGTAGCTTTTTGGTTTGTGTATTTTTAGAGCGATATCAGCTGAAGGCTTTGTTCAGCTCTTATCCAGAGCGAGTCGCTTCAATGTTTAGCCTCGGCATGAGCAGATGGTTCGTTCCCACTAGGAAGTTTCCAGGTCTGGGGCCAAGTGGCTGCTGTTGTCCGTCAGTTCCACTGGAGCGGCTTGGCATTAATCGATTAAAGACGCACCGATAACAACAGCTGGGCAGGAATCATCGGAATTCTTGAGATTATAAACCTGATTTTAGAGCTTTTAACTTCAACTTGCCCTCATTGTTGGTGTGTAATGAAGCCTAAGCCCCCCTGAGACCCATCAACCACTGACCTGAACACAGGTCAACAACCACAGAAAGGAAAACTGAAACGCAAGACAATGAGGGTGGGCTCAGTCTCTGCGTGTGTGTGTGTGTGTAAGGATAATAAAAAAAAGGATATTCCATCACAGAGTTGAGATGGAACTCTTATTTGAAGAGTGCGTGTGTGTCTGTGTTTACAGAGCACATTATTATCTTCTGACTGAACTTGCAGCAGCCTGTGCATCAGGATGACAAATAGCATCATTACAAGGCACTGCGTCTCCTTAAACTGTCTCCCTTTGGCAAACAGCAGCACACTTTCCTGTTCTGCGGGAAACAGAAAACACGGGTGGCTCTAACAGAAGGTGCTTCAGTCAGCCATGCTGTCATTATGCTGCAGACAAAGCTACAGAAAATAGCTCTTTGCACTTGTCCTTTTGCTTTGTTCTCAGTCCTTAGAGTGAGTCTCAAAACATACATGTTTATTTAAATTTTTGTTTAGTTTCATTTTGTGTTTTCCCTATAAGATAGTGAAATCAGCAACTGCCACAGCAGCAGCTATAAACCTTTGCCTCCAGGCATAAAAATCATCAACAGTAGCCAGTAAGCAGTGGTTGGGGTTACGGTTATGATCACTATTATTGCTCCTTGTCATTTCCAGTAGTGATACAAAAACTTTGCTTGCACAGCACTAGAGCAGCCAAAGGCATGTTGGACGTCTGCCAGTTTTACCTTCAACTTCTATGCGCCACAAATCTGGAAAAACATCCAGAAAACTGTTCAGAAAATTGCATGACTTCACATATTTTAAAGTCAACTTAAACTTTGATAGTCAAGTTGACTAGTCTCTGTGACGCCATAGAAACGCCAAAAATGCTTCACATTAGCTGACAGGCAAACAGACGATGAGCGCTTATCACATGGCAGTTACATAATGTAGCTGCCATGATTTTTAATAACGAACAGGCGTATTCACGTGTGATTTCAATTGAATTTTTTATCTAATGGAAACACTGCAACGATCAAATTGTGTTTTTCAACATCAGAAGAACAGAGAAAGATTTGTGCACATTTGTAATGAAAACACTTGTGTGATGTATTGTTGTTTTTATATTTTAACGATGTAAAGCATTAAAATGCCTTGTTGTGGAAAAGTAATATAGAAATAAACTTGATTGATTGATTAATGTTTACATTATTTTGTTGTCAGAAAACAAACAAAAACACGAGGAAGACAGAACTGTAAGAGCACAGGTGTCAACACCCAGTCCTGGAGGGCCACTGAACTGCAACTTGTAGATGTGCCTCTGCTGCACCTCCTGAATAGAATAATTACATCATTAAGGCTCTGGAGAGCTGATCCACACAGGAAGGAGGTAATTAAGCCATTTCATTCCAGTGTTTTGTACCTGTGGCACATCTAAAAACTGCAGGACAGCAGCCCTTCATGACTTGAGTTTGAACAGATGTGAAGGTCTTGTTTAGTTTGGGCTTATGAACCAGAAGAGGTTTTATATGCATTAAATACCTTTGCATTGCCTTTGTAATTGAGCACAGCCAACTTTGGAGGTTTGAAAAGCAGCGTGGTGAAAGTCCCGAGTGCGTCAGGTTGCATAATTTCAAACAGGTCCAGACTGAGTGTGTAAAAAGCAGCTGTGCTGAGGCAGAGATGACGCTTCCCAGATATAATGCTACACGAAGCAGCGCCGGGCCCGGTGAAGGTGAGGGGAGCCAGCAGCGCCATGAGGTTCTGCTACTGTGTTTGAGTCATGGGGTGACAGCTGGATCCTGCAGAATCAGACTGTGGAGTTTCCATTTCCTGTCCTCTCATGTGTGTCTGAAACTGTAGCTGTTTTCCTTTGTCAGGAATTCTTTCTCTTCTGAAACAGTTTCTTGAATGCAATTTTTTATCCTTTTTTAAATGAGAATAACATTCATGTGTCTGAGGTTGTGAAATGTTTATTAGCTCCCATTTTCATTTTTTGAGTCAAATTGAGTTCAGATGTGGAAAAGATCCAACCAAGCTGAGTTCATGAACTGAAAGTCATCAGCCAAAGGTAAATCCAAACAAAAAGAAATGCTCTCGACTGTAAATAAAGACACTCATGACAGGACAAATTCCACAGCACAGATTTTTGCTGAAATGGAAACATGAATTCATGGCTTTTGGATTAAAACCTTTGATCAGGCAGAATGTCTTCCATTATAAAGACGTCATGGTGAGATATAACGGCATAGGCATACATCCTGACATGACGTGGTTGTAGAGTGGTGAGGTAGATGCAGTGGACCCAGGTTTGTAGAAAGAAATGATGACTTAATAATAAGAATAATGCACAACAATCCAAGCAGCACAGGTGAGCAGAAGGTTAGGAGTTGACAGAGATTGACTTTTGACGACTGGATAGATGAGGACGCGAGAATGAAGAAGAGACAGGTGGGATAAATCAAGGGGTAGACAGGACAAAACAGAGACCCAACTGACACAGGAACCAAAATAAACACATAGAAAACTCAAATCCTCACACATCCAGCACCTGGCATGGAACAATACATATTAAGTTCACTATACAAGGCTTCAGAAATGTTTCACTGAAAACTAAAAATCATTTGTTATCTTTTGTTAATTAAAGGTTTCATGAATCACCAGCTATCTTTCACAGAATCAGTCACTCACTCCAGTATTCACAATTCCACGGATGCGGAAAATCAACAGGTCTCCACGTTTTTACACAAACGCATAATTGTGAATTTATTAGTAATTTTCTGCAAAAACTATTAAAAATATTATTTGTAGGTGGTAGAATTTTGAACTTCTACTTCCCTGCTGCCTGTGCTTTGCTTGATGTCAAGTTAAAGTACTTGACATCAAGTACTTTAAACAAAAGCTTTGATTTTTATGACAGGATGTGTTTCATGAGGGAGAGGAGAGTCATTTTTTAATAACAAAAATGTAGCTATTTACCATGTTTAAAGAATGGTCCTGTGTCCATTTTGCTTGGTATTTCATATCGTTTTTAAATAATCCCGCAGTGTTCAGTCTATCAGTTCAGCTGTATAAATAATCCCGCAGTGTTCAGTCTACCTGTTGACCTGTATAAATAATCCCGCAGTGTTCAGTCTATCAGTTCACCTGTATAAATAATCCCGCAGTGTTCAGTCTATCTGCTCACCTGTAAAAATACACCTGCAGCTCGTCCCTGCCGTTCGCTCTGAACCAGCAGCTCCAGGAGGAGAAAAGCTGCAGTACTCCAAGCATCGCTCCCGTCATTTTAAGGATGCTCATTTTTATGCTGCTAACACTTAGCTTTTGTCAACAAGTCAAGCAGGAGTGAGGGCGCTGCTCAACGCAAGTAACGACCCGCAAGTAACGGTGCACTAAATTCTCGGTGAATTTAGTGCACCGAGACAGAACACGGTGCACTAAATTCTAAAACATGACATTGTTCAGCCTGGAATGAGCGTCTTCCTCCTCATGTCTGGATTTTTGCCAGTTTTTGCTTCTAAGGACGGTGGAGAATCAAGTGGTAATTTAAAAAGACGCGGGTTGATAGAAGCTCTCTGGGCTGCGTCGGTACATAGCATTCTGGGGTCTTTTAGCTCTAGCCATGAGAATTTAGCTGACCTTAATATTTCCTGTTTTATTTTGGTCATTATTGTTACATTTAATGTTGCTATGTGTGGTAGGTGTGTCTATTGGACAGTTATGTATTGATTCAATACTAGACGTGACATTTAATGTTTTTTTACGGAGGGGTGGTAATTCCGTTCAGGGGTGCTGAGGTGCAGTTTCAGGTGTGCTCAGGCACCCCTAAAACAGGCTGAGATAGGCATCAGATATAAAAGCCTCGTCTGTCTGTAAATATGTTCCACCCAGAAGGTTTCAGCTTCACCTGGTTCAAATGCCTTGAAAAACATCTAGTATTATGAATCTTCTGCTCATTATTACTCAGTTCATCAAAAAGAGATCAACAGTCCTACACTGTACTGACTGACTGGGAGCAAAGAGGCCTGAGCTCTTTACCCATTGATGTCAGGCGTTTAGTTTTTAACTCATTAAAATAACAATTTTATTGCATTTTAAACAACAAAATTTTTGTTTTATGAAGTAGAAGAGGAATTTAACTATGAATTTTTTGGATATTTTTATGCATTTTCAATATTGTACACAATAAACTTAAGTGGCTGAAAGAAAAATCTGTACAATGTGGCTAGTTGTTTTGTTTTCCGATTATTCGATTAATCATCGGAATAATCAATAAAATACTAAAATAATCAGCAGCAGCAGCAGCTCTAATATTGTGTAATAAGATAAAACTGTTTGCAGGAATTTATCAAACATGAGTTTGACTGATCTTGTTGACTGTAAGACAGGAAACAGGTGGAAATGTGTTTCCTTTCAGCTACTCCAAACAAAAAAACTCTTTTCATGGAGTGTTTCTCCTCTTTGTTCCAAGCCAGGATTTAAATGTGTGAAGATCAGGCCTACTGGAGAAGCTTCCTGTCGCACTCACCACGTGGAAGACGGCGGCGTCCTGAGCCGTCCTGAGAACCATCTGAGGCTGCAGGCCGGACTGGAGGTAGGAGCCCTGAGCCGACACGGTGCAGCCTCCGCTACGCGAGGGACGGAGAGCAGCGTTAGCATCAGACACGCGAGATTCCCAGTGGGAGGCGTCTGTTGCTCGCGTTAGCGGCTCGTCACCTCCCACTCACTTCCTACTGCTGTTAAACTCCGGCATTAGTCTAATTCATCCCACCCATCACTTTTCTTCTGACAGGCGATGACAGCTTAGGTTCACATTTATGGCAAGTCTCGCGTGACGTGCGGAGACGCCGCGGGCCAAAAGGAGAACCTCACCTCACGAAGGAGCGCAGCGGCTGGATGCTGCTGATGACCGGGTCCTCGTTGTAGGTGAAAGGCACGGGCGCCTGGCGTTCCACTGTATCCACCGTCAACTTCACCGGCTGCTCCGAGGGGACGGCGTGTGTGTGCGGTGGCGTCTTACAGGTCAGCATGGAGAACGACACGCTGAGGGCGGAACGGTGCGGAGGTTTTCTGTTAGCTGTTAGCAAAGGATTCTTAACACTTAAAGAGGCAGTGTTATGTTTTCCAACTGTGAACAATCAACTGACAATGTTACCATCAGTTGCTATAAAGATGCTGTATACATATCAAAAATGACTTGAAATAAATTTGACTTTGTGTTTTAACACCTTCAATTTGGGCCTCTGTCTCCTTAAGAAGCTCCTGCTCTTTCTGAAACTCCACGTTCAGGAAGCCATCACAACATGGCTCCTCTATTAACTCTTTAATAAGCCTCTTGCATTAAGCAATTAATTATAAATTCAAATGATTATGGTGATTAATTGGAGGACAATTTTGTTTGCAGTGATGTCATAATCTACTGTATTATAGTTTTGGTTATAGGTGTTTTTTATTGCCATTTTATTATTTATCTTCCAGTTCCAGTGTTAACTGATCTATAAAAAAAAAATCAAAAGTTTTTTTTGGTCTTTTAGAGGAAGAACTTTTATTATTATGCAATTATCTATATATTACTTGAAAATTATTGTGAAACAACAATATTCTTGCTCATCGCAACAATTACCAGGAGTATTTATTTATTGTCCAAAACATTTGTTTTCATGACAGGCCTACCCTTCAACAACATTTTTACCAGTGTTTCACAGAGAAGTAGCTCCTATGATGAGCTCAGCTGATGCCAAGTTCCACCAACGGTTTGCTAATTGCTGCTGGCTAGTTTGAAGGAGCTGAGTGGGGGAGTCACATAGGGAAGGCTGCTCTGTGAGGCGGAAGCTTGGAAACTGCAGCTCAGAGGAGAAATTGGCTCTCAAAAGTGGCTCTGAGTTCACTCTGGCCTTCACTCTGGCATTTCACACAGCTGAATGGTTGCCAAGCGAAGTTAAATGATTTCTCAAACATGGATTGAAAAAAATCAAAGCACGTCTAATTTTGATGACAGAATGACAGTCGATTTTACATAATACCGCCCCTTCAAGAAAAAGAGGCATAAAAAGAACAAAAGGAAAGCTTAGAGTGTACACAGAAAAGAAGCAAAAAGAAAGAGAAACCAGGATTTCATTCAGTGAAACATTACTGAAAACGACTGAAAACTGACCTTTGGATCTTGCAGCTTGCCTTCCCTACAGTCACCACTTGTTTGTTTCCAGTGTCCAAAAAGGCTCCTCTGATAGTCAACATGGTGTTACCAGACTTTGGACCAAATGTGGGAAAGATGTCGTTGATCACAGGGTCCTGGATGGATGGAGGGGAAATAAAAAGTTTATTGCGGGCTGAAGTAATTAGGTGCAACCTTCATTTGCAACAGATCAGACAGAAAATGATTGGGCATGCAGCAAAGGTTCAGAGTCTGGAAATAGAACCCCAGATAGAACCGCGACACTGCGCACTGCTCAGGTGTAACTTCTGCTTCCATACGGGAAATGTATTTAAAAATGAAAAATAAAAATACTGAAGACTGACACACAGTTGTGGTCATCAGTGTACACCAGCGAAAGGTTTTCAAGGCCAAAGAATGAGGCAGTGATCACTGTGATGGACTGTTTTTATACTGCATAAATCAACGCATCTTTTCCTCTGATGGGTTTATGGTACCTCTGTTTCTGTTGTAATCACACCAACATAGGCTAGCTATAGTTACATAAAAGAGGACACCTGAAGCATAATTCGTCACTCTGGATTTTATTCAAAACTGTTAGACTAAAAGAGTCGAATAAAAAATGCAAGCTGCATTATTCAAATTTTTAATTGCAGAGAAAATTCAGTTGTTTCCTTCCATTTTGTGTTGGTTTGCCACATAAAATAGCCTAAAATGTGTTTTGGAGGTTCTGCCTTTTATTGGAATAAACAGTCAGAAATGGCTACAGCTTTTGTAATAATATATAATCTACATTGTGGATAATTATAGGCAGTAAAATCTTAACTGAAAGATGAGAAAATGGCCCTCATTTGGAGTCACTCTTGAATACAAAACTTTAATACAAAACAAAATCTATTCAAAGAGAGAGAAAAAACACAGCTTACCACAAATTTGAAGCCCTCCAGTTTGGCCACTGCATGGCCACTGGTGACCTTCACCAAGTGTCTGGACAGAGTGAAGTTCCCACTGTACGTCGGGGAACACTGCATCTCAGTCCATCTGCTCCCGACCCCAAAAACAACGCACAGACCAGGCATTATTCACCACCACAGCACCCAGCATTTAGCCTAATTCAATGATCATGCAGTACCCAGCAGGAATGCACAAAGACTTCATCTTTATGTGGCATGGTGAAGGCCATCTTTTTTTTAATTTCCTGTAATGAAGTTGTTTGGAGCAATAAGGAGCTCTTGAGTGTGGATTTGGAAGAGACTGAAGATTGTATTGGGTGATTTTCTATTTTTTTTTCCCCAGCAATTTTTCAGTTAAGATAGTCATGTGTTGAATGTGGCAAGCTGAGGGGGTGGAGGGGCTAAAGGGTGGATGCTTTTTAACATTCCTCTTTCCACACAATCGCTCCTGTTAGAGCAGCAGCCAGGTGTCTCTCACTCATAAAACCAATTTAGTGGCTTTATTAAGGTACACACACCACACCATGACAGAAAAAAATTGTAATTGCCAGTCAGTAACATTAAGCCAACACACACACACACACACCTGTGGACATTGTCCTGTCTAACTAGCTTGCACTGAGCTCCTGCCACTTCCACGTTCACCATCGAGGGTTTGAAGTTCTCTGTCTTGTCGAAGCCGAAGTTCCGTCCGCAAATGGTTATGGTTGTAGTACCCCTGATTGGTCCAGATGATGGGAACACCTGTGGCAACGTAGAGGAGAATGGTTCCATCTTTCCCATAGAGTTATGATCTACCCGCAAACTGAAGGCAGTCAGTCATTCTAATAGATCTAAATGAAAAAAAAAACTGTTTTTAGGTTTCAGAAAATACCGGAATCGCACGACTTTCAGCTTGAACGGGCCTGACCGTTTAGAGATGTTTAGAGAACTGATTGCAGAAGTTTAGAGAACGCAAATTCTAATCACTGGAAGTCTTCAGAGTGGAGGCAATTAAACGGAAAGCTGGTCACCTAAAATCACTTTATTTAGTTGATTTCACTGTCAAAAATGATCACAGGGCGCTGCGCAGTCAGCTGGACAGACAGACAAGGGATGCAAACCAAACTGGTCATTTTATCATAAACCTTTTGATGAGGAAATAAGATGGCGGTGGACAGCAGCCGTCAATCGGAAGTGAATCAAGTGAAATACTACATTGCATGTCTAATCATTCATAATTAATGATGCAGCGGTATGAAACCTTTTGCCTACATCCAATATCAAAATTCTGATATCCAATATTGATCAATGTTATTTATATTTCTTTACCTTTTTGACACCGTTGGGGAAAAAAATAACCAGAAACAAAAGGGAATTAAAGCTGCAAGCAGCCTCGAGCGGTCCTCGCAGCCAAGCGCCGCTCCGGCCTATTGGCCACTGTGGGGTACCAGCAACCGCCTGACGCCAGCCACCACAGAGTTTTTGAATATGATAAAGCCCCCAAAAAGGCCCCTCTTTAGGGAGGCAGAATAATAATAATAAGAAGAAGAAACAATAGGAAAACAATAGGCCTTCACAGCGCTTAACTGCTCCGGCCTAACAAGATGGAAATAAACATTGGATGTTGACATCGCCCCAGTTTAATTTATATCGTGCATCCCTATTCATATCTCAATGGAGAAGTTGCCCCACCAACATGAATCCGAGCATGTATGAAAAAAAACTGACAAGCATCTAGACTTTTGTATGATTTTAACTCTGCTCTGGTGTAATTGGAACACAGTTTATGATATAATTGTATAAATTGTGTGGCATAAATTCAGGCGAAGTTGGCAATTTGATCAAATAAAAAAATGTCAGGAGGGGGAAGGTTTGGGTCGCTTTCTAAGCTAGTTGTTTCCAACTTTTATAAATACTGCTGTCTGTAAGCACCTATTAGCTGAGGTACTTCCACAGACAAATTAACAGGACATGAACAAGTAGAAGACAGCGCTATGTTGGTAAAAACAACAACATTAATCCCATCCCCCACATCTGACAGCCGTCACGGCGCCTCAATGTGACTGGGCAATGTAGTTGAAAAGGGTCAACATCACTGCATCAATACATCACTGTAGTATAGGAATGAAAAATGTGCTGCTTCTCTTTAGTCCCACATCCATACATCACTTTATAACTATTATCTTTTGATGTTCTTCAACAATTCTCTTTTATCTTTAACTCATCATCCAAAAAACTGTTAATGCCTGCACTGCATAATCTTAAAAATTGATGAAGTGTAGCATGCATCCCATTAGAAATAAAAATGCACATAAGTTCACAGAAAGACAACAGAAATAAATGTCAACCAGCTATAGATAGCATCTGTTAATTGGTTTAATATTATCCAACTGTTGACTTCATCAATCAATCAATAAATCAATCAAATTTTATTTGTATAGCACATTTCAGCAGGAAGGCATTTCAAAGTGCTTTACATCATAAACACAAAAACACAGTCATGCAACATTATAAATAATACATTGTTCCATCATTATATTTTTAATTGATTACGTTTCAAATCTAATCTAATCAGGTGTGTTTTTAGTTGAGATTTAAAGGAAGTCAGGGTTTCCACTGTTTTACAGTTTTCTGGAAGTTTGCTCCAGAAAACTCCAGCATCTATGCATCCAGTGCAAAGATGCTGAAAGCTGCTTCTCCTCTTTTGGTTCTGGTTCTGGGGATGCAGAGCAGAACCAGAACCAGGCCCTGAGAGCCTGGAAGGTTGATACAACAACAGCAGATCTTTGATGTATTGTGGTGCTAAACCATTCAGTGATTTATAAACTAACAACAGTATTTTAAAGTCTATTCTTTGAGCTACAAGAAGCCAGTGGAGGGACTTTAAAACTGCTGTAATGTCTCTATCTTCCTGGTTTTAGTGAGAACAGGAGCAGCAGCTTCTGGATCAGCTGCAGCTGGAGGATTGATTTGTTGGACAGGCCTGTGAAGACGCTGTTACAATAATCAATGCGACTAAAGATAAACGCCTGGATGAGTTTCTCTAGATCTGGCTGAGACATTAGTCCTCTAATCCTGGAGATGTTCTTCAGGTAATAGTTACAAAGTCGGCCTTCTGTCTTTATATGGCAAGCAAGGTTCAAGTACGAGTCCATCACTCCTCCCAGGTTTCAGGCTGATTGTTAGTTTTTAGTTGTAATAACTGAAGTTGTGCATTGACTCTGGATCTATAGCTCTAGATCGGCCCTCTTTAGGTACAAAAATAATAACTTCAGTTTTGTTTCTGTTCAGCTGGAGAAAGTTTTGGCACATCCACACATTTATCTGTTCCAAGCATTTATTCAGTGATTGGATGGGGTCAAAGGTCACCTGGTGACATTGTAATGTAGAGCTGAGTATCATCGGCATAATTATGTTAGCTAATATTATTTCCTGTAATGACCTGAGCTAGTGGGAGAATATAAATATTAAAGAAGAGGGGTCCTAGGATTGAACCTTGCAGTACCCACATGTGACCTTTGACCTCTTTGAGAAGTTTCCAATTGAAACAAAGAAATCCCTGTTCTTTATGTAGGATTCAAACCAGTCGAGCACCGAACCAGAGAGTCCGACCCAACTCTCCAGTCAATTCAGTAATATGTCAAAAGCTGCACTGAGGTCCAACAGAACCAGCACTGTCCAACAGAATCTCCCACAGTCCATATTTATATGGATATCATTGAACACTTTTACGAGGGCAGTATCCGTGCTGTGGTGAGCACAAAAACCAGATTGGAAAGAGTCAAAGCAGTTGGTCATCATGAGGAAACTATTTAAGTGTTTACAAACAGTTTTTTCAATAACTTTGCTGATGAATCAGAGGTCAGAGGTCGGCCTGTAATTCTGCAGAAGTGATTTGTCCAGATTTTTCTCTAATTATCAGTGGCTTGATAACTGCTGTTCTTAAAGCTTGAGGTAAAACACCTGATGTAAGCAATGAGTTACTATTTGGATCAGATGAGTAACAATAACAGGCAGGACTTTCTTAAAAAATGTGTGGGTAGGACATCCAGACAGCAGGAGCTTGAACTTAATTGACTTATAATTTCTTCTAGGGTTTTATAATTAAATAGTTGAAAATGGGTCATTTTTCTGTATTTGTTTTGTTTTGGTACTGCAATGGTTCTGGCTTTGAAGTTGATGTGCAGATTAACTCTGATTTTTGAATTTTCTCTGAAAAGAAGCTGGAAGACTTGTTCCAGGCAGCATTAGATTGAATTCAGGTGGTAACGTCATAGGAGGGTTTGTGAGCCTGTCAACTGTTGCAAATAAAGCTCCAGCATTGTTCATGTTTTTGTTTATAACATCTGCAAAGAAAGCCTCCCTTGCATGTTTTAGTGTTGAGTGACAGTTACGTAGTCTTTCTTCATAGATGTCGTTATGAACGTGAAGTTGAGTTTTACACCATTTTGGTTCTGCTTTGCGACAGAGTTCTCTTGCAGATCAAACTGTTTGTGTTTTTCTCCATGGAGATTTCTTCCTACCAGACACAACATTTACTTTATTTGGGGCAATAGAATCAATGATATATGAAACTTTAGACTGAAAATTATCGACCAACTTATCTACATCATTACAGCTTAAGGGTGAGGAGGAAGAGTAGATTTGATTAAATGTTTCTGCTGTGTTTTCTGTGAAAGAACGTTTTTACAGTAGCTGTTTGTCCAAGTGGGTCAAAGAATAAAGAACCTTCAAAGATAACAGCGAAGTGATCCGACAGGGCGACATCAGTTACAGAGACATTGGAAATATTCACACCCTTACTGATGATAACCAGGTCCAGTGTGTGTCCTTGAGTGTGTGTTGCTTGTTTGACGTGTTGTGTTAAACCAAAATTTTCTAAAATATTAGAGAACTTTTTTGCCTCTCTGTCTTGGGGTTTGTCCACATAAATGTTGACAAACCCCAACATCCATGTTGGGGTTTGTCAACAATTACTAAACAATCATAATCAATGCTGCCATACTTATACTGGCTGTACTCTGTGTACCTTAGTGATGACCGGTGTGCAGTTGTCCTGACTCCAGCCAGAGGAGGAGGGACACTGAAGCCTTCTGGTGCAGCGACCATCACACCAGCCACACTGTGTCACTTTGGATGACAGCAAACAAGATATACACGTGGTCAGCTGACCACAGCCTGGGCCAATCAAAGGGATCTTAGTGATCTAGAAGGGAAAAAAACATAGAATTTAGAACAAAAACTTCTTAAAAAAGGATAAAAACATTTAAATTAGGTCTCTTCATTTTTATATGAGCCTGAGCTTTTATGTCAATCTAACTGTTGCTGATTCAAAAGCTTTTGATCATCATCTCACCTCTACAAAAAATATCTAAAAGAAAGTACACCTTGTTTCAGTTCTCTGGGTTTGTGTAAAACCACATAATTAAAGAAACTGTAGTTGCAGATAGTGAATTAAATCTGAATAGATTCCATTCAGAATGACTTTGTGTTTCTCTTTTTTAATTTATGAAGCAAAGAACAAAAAGAACATGTACTGTTGTGGATAATGTGTGGCCTCCTGTTTACCTTGTTCCCTGTGGCCATCAGCAAGGCTCCCTCAGAGTGCGGCTTGTCTGGCAGAACTACACTGGCAGAGACGGGTCTGGAGTCCAAGCCGATGTTCACATGGGGCGACGTAAACCTGGAGAAGAGTACCTGGAAGGAAACACACTTTATAAACATCTAGAACAGTCTAGATTGTTTCAGCTAGTAACAATTTGACATTTCAAAAATAAATTTGCTTCATGGAAACACTGCAGTTTCTACAAATAAAAAAAACAAAAAAAACCTCTCCTTTTTTGATAAAACATTTTGGCGATAAAATGAGGTGATACTTTTATGGGGACGTATCAAAATTGCTTTATTTCTCAAAACTGCAATGCAAACACTTTTTCCACATCCCACGGGTCCTGTGATCAACAACACATGGTTTCACTAACATGAAGAAGACGACCACAGGATCACAGCATGTTTTTTTAATGACTTATCGCATGAACAAACTTATTCATGTGTGGTTTTAATTGTGTTTCTTGTTTAATGGAAACACAGCAATTGTGAAATTGCGTTCTTTTCAACAATAGCTGAATATTGACAAGATTTTGCTCACATTTGTAATGGAAATGCAGCTTCTGAGACACTTTCAGGAACCCGTCCGAGATAATTCAATGGAGCTGTTAATCAGCCAAAATTAGTTTAGGTTGTGATGTTTACAGTAAAAATGTGTTTGTTTATTTATTTATTTTTTTCATAACTCATCAAAAGTTCACAAATGACAGATTAAATAGAACTCAAGTGCTTCAGAGTTCATAACTTCGACCTCAGTGTCAGATGTTTGACAAACATGTTTCCTTTTCTTCTTCACAGTACATTCCAGCCAAAAGGGAGGTTAGGTCAGGACGCTCTGTCAGATGGCAGGATTTTATTCACTCACCACCTTTTCATTGATGCAAAGGTAGCCTCATAAACACCAAGAATAATAAAAAGTGGGACATATCATGTGCAGTCTGGATGACAGAAGGACTGAGAAGCTAGAGGACATCCATAAGTTATTGCAGCGGTGTGCCAGCACACCTTGACGGGGAACTGGAGCAGAAAAACCGTCCAGAATGCGTCATCCTCCCCGAGGCCTCTCTACTCTGTCCTATTTTATAACATCACATTGAGTAAAGCAGAGTTGTATGAAAGCAACATTTTTTTTCTTTTTCATTACGGTCAGTGCTAAATCTTCTAAAAACTCAACGACGCTTGGCAAGTCAGAGTCACTTCAGCTTAGGATCCTCCATAGAGACACCACATATCTAGTATGAACCCAAATTGGTTGGATAATCTGAACATGTGCAGAGACTTGCGAAAATTATTCACACCTCTTGAAGTTTCTCACATTTTGTCAAGTGACAACCATCATGGGAAAATCTGTGGACAGGACAACAACCAGGTGCACTTTCCACAAACCTGGTCTGTGGTAAAGGAGGCCAGTGGTGAGAGGAAGCCCTGCCAATTCCACTATGTTCACTTTCAGAAAGTGGAAATGAACTTCTTATCATCGTTCTGTATGCTGATAGGTGGTAAACATGAACCCTCAACTCCAGGCTTACATACAATGAAATCTTGAATTTCACTAACACCCACACACACACCTTCAGCGAAACACACCTGGTGCAATATTTATCCATTGTGGTTATGCTGCAGCTTTTGGCTTTGGAACAAACAAAACTGAACAGGGTATGTGGTCACTGCAGTAAATTTAGTTTTTTCTGAATTATACACACACCCACACTTAGACATGCACATACACACGCATGCACACACACACACACCCGAACACACACTTTGCAGCTGGCAACAGGGTTAAGACAATCCAGTGGTGAGACTTGTGGTGTGTGTCTTATGGCACTGGCCATCGTGGATGCACTAAAGATGTTGACTGTTTCGCCCTTTGGTTCAAGCCTACAATGCGTCAGGGCATCCAGGAAAAACATGACACACTCAGTGTAGTAAACTCTAAATGTACTTTTTTACTCAGTTGGCTGAACCGCAGCTTGCCCTCTGCTTCCTCTACTGACAAACATCTTGTTTTCCAGCGTCATTCTTTCACTGCTTGAACCTCATGATCAACGTTAGCTTTTGTGACAGCAAGAATAATAGGTGGCTTTCTGCAGGGGACGGGGCCACACAACAGCCATCTCTCTGGAGGTATTAGCGGTGTAAATTACAGCTTATTGTATTAAGGAGGCTGGGGGGAAGTTTGGCCTATAAACACTGGCACTGTGTAATTCCCACAGTGGGTCGACTGAAGTCGAGGGAACGCTTCCTGAGTCAGTCCACTTGGGGGGGAACAACGTTCCTTTTCTTTCACTGCCTCTGCACCATGTTCCTTCTTGCTTTGTCCACCAGGGCTGACAAAGAAGCTGAAAAGCATGAAAAGTTAACAGGTCCTTTTGACCCAGCGAACAATAAAGTTAATTTTGATGAGAATGTCTCGTCTCTTAGGTTTTCATCTGCATAGATTTAGACGGAGGCAGCAAGCAGCCAGGGGTGACTGAGGAAGAAAGGTTTCCGGCTTGGTTCAGCAGGGAGTCAGCAGGCGCATGCATTAGTTATTGACAGCACTAAGACCCACCTACTGATTGGTCTTCGCTCTGATTGGTTGTTTCTTGTTAGCATTGAGAGAAGGGAAAGCTAAAATGTTTTTTGCTGATTATCTTTCTCATACCAAACTGTCACCACATAGTGACAGTTTCAACAAATATGTAATAAAATATACTTTTTTTCAGAAAAGGTACATACTGCAGCTATAAGCTGAGGACCAAAGTGACACTATTGAGAAGATATGAATAGATAATTGATAGATTTATCCCATCTAAGTGAGAGCCTATATTTTGAGTAGTGTTTGTTTTTTGTTTGCCATATTTGCTGCTTTAGCTTTTGGCTGTAATCTTTAAATCTGGCTCATCCTCATTTCTTCCTATTCTCATTCTTCTATCTGCTGCTTTTTTCTGTTGATTCTACAATCAAAGACTTAAGCCTGGGTGTGTGGCTGTGTGCTCTTCTTGCACACAGCCAAGTGGTGAACTTCATGAAGTTCAGACTCCTGCTTTAGCTAAAGCTGAAAACCAATCAGCTAGTGTATGTTAGTGGAGATGGAGCCGGTGGGGAATGGGATTGAGGAGGGGGCTAGGTGTGAGGTGGCATAGCTGGCTGTAGGACAGACTGTGGAAAAGCACGGCAACAGCTGCAAGGAACTCACAGAATGCCGTGCGAGGGAACGCGCTAGGGAACCCCTTGGTTCACCATTTACGTGCTGTTCAGCCTGTAAGCTCCCTCGCTCCCCGCTGTTGCTGCCCTCCCCGCCTTTCCTTGCAGCTGTCACGCTGATTTTTCCATCTCTCTGCTCCTTTTTTTGTGCATGCTTTTTATTTCTTGAGTTTTGAAAACACGTGACGCAACTCAGTTTTTGCTTTTTGTGATTCATTCCGTTTGTGATAGTATTTTAACTATGCAACACAAATCACAGGTTTCAGTCAGCAGTCATGACCCTGATGTGTTGCTTTATTGATGGAATGGAAGGAAAAGCAGGAAACAAGGTGTTATAGTCTATGAAACAACACAAGTTTGCCATTGAAAACTGATCAAACTACAACAGTTTTGATATATGCACTACACTGTATAACATTTGAGCCACATCTAGTTGTGTACACCATCTTCTACTCTTTAAGTCAAATAAAAAGCAAGTTTTAGATTTTAAACCTAAATATGTGTTTGTGAAAGATAAACTTACAGGAGAAAGTTGTGTTAATTTTGTCAAACCTCCAAGAGTTGAATAAACTAGTGTGTTTAGTTTAGCACGTAAACAAAGCTAAAAAAGAAGAAGACAGGAGTGGGAACTATGTCCCAGAATACTTAGCAGCTTGCTTTTGTATCCTGAGTGTGTTACATTGATGAGACTCTAGAGCAGGGGTGCTCAAGTCCAGTCCTGGAGAGCTACCATCCTGCAACTATCAGATGCATCCCTGCTCCAACACACCTGAATCAAATGAATGACTCGTTACCAGGCCTGTTCATAGCTGAGCCTGATCTACTGGAGTAAGGCTGCAACTAAAAGTTGCAGGACGGTAGCTCTCAACGACTGGACTTGAGCACCCCTGATCTAGAGCGTTATTAAGGCAAATGTTTATTTCAATGCAACTGATAAAGCTTGTGGATAATGTCCTGTTCACACCAAATGTTTTTGAGCAGAATTTATTGTGATGCCATTATCAAAATTCATTATCAGATCAGAACTTTAGTTCATGTGGTTTGTAACAAGAATTTAAATTAGCAAAGTAAAAAAAAAGTTACTGTAAGTAATCTTAACTTGACATTAAGAATGAAAATAGCAGGTGAACTAGATGAGGGCAGTTTTTTCTAGAATATTGTGAAATAATAATTTGGTTTAAATTGCAGCACAATTCAAGATTAACTAACTTAAAAAACAAGACTTCTATCTGCTTCTTTTTTCTGTTTAATCTACAGTCAAAGAGCCAAGCCTGGTTGTGTGCTCTTCTTGCCACTGCTTAACTAAGTCTTTAACTAAGTGGTTGGCCACTTAGTTAAAGACTAAAAACACTAAAAACACTAAACTTGTCAAATCATAAACTTGATTTAACAAGTTTATGAAGTTGTTAAATCAATTTCAGAAACTTTAATTTTTTTAAAAACCAAAACAGTTTTCTTGTTGAGTTGAATTGCATTGTCAAGGCAGCAGGTGAACTTTCATTTTAAACCACCTCCAAATGTTTTACAGTGTATTTGCATTAGTCAACTGCTGCTTCAGAAAGTCAGATTTGGCCTGGCTTATGAAACGAGACAAATAAGACCACAGTTTATGTGCAAGGCCATCCTCCAAGTTATATAAAGATCTCAACCTATTAAAGATTAATCAGTGTCTGAAATATATTCAGTGTGTTGAAGCTTTGTTTACTTATAAAAAGGAATTTAATGTTATATCATTCTGGCAGGTGTTTGGTTACATGATAGATTTTAACTTCCACTTGTGGCACAAGATATTAAAACACCACGATATCTCATCAAAGTGAAATCTGTCCACACTACACAGTTTCTTCCAGGTTATGATTCTCTGGATACATATTTTGAGCTGATGTTATGAGGCACAGATATGAATGTGTAGTCTTTGAGCTTGGCTCTCTGTGCATATAAATGTTTCAGAGAGCTATTTTGAAGGAAGAATGGCAGCTAATCCAACTAATATCAAACTGGCATTGAAGAAGAGTCTATTTCTTCCAAAAAGTTTGTGTGGAGGCACCAGCAAATCCTGACCCCACTAGGGATAAGGCTGAACAGATACTGGATGGATGGAAGTTTGTGTGGCAGCAGTACTCAGGGAAGAAAGAAACAGTGACCTATTGCACAGGATTTTGATTTTACTGACATTTTGAGGTCAAATCAGAAGCCTGGTGTTGATCTCCTGACCTGTATATGTCGTCCATCTGCTGTGCCGAGGTACGCCACTGTGCGACCATTGACTGGAACCACTGTAATCGACGTGACCAAGGTGTTCTTCAAGTCTTTGTGCCAGTACTCCAGCCTCTGGACAAACTGGGTCACCTGCAGCCGGTACATGCCCTCCTTTCCCTCATGGATTCCTTCGTGGGGGTCACAGTCGTCTGAGGAAGTCTGCAAAGAAGCTATATGGCATTAGACTAATAATCCAACTGAGGAATTGCTTTCTGTTGTGTTTTCCCCCCACACCCCCCAAAAATAAAGAAATAAATCACTAGCAACAAGATGCATTTATCTATTAAAAGGAGAGTCTGAATTGGCATAAAAGGCTGCTGATCACCAGAGATAATTAGAAAACTGCTGAGAAGACGACAGGGATCACATTTCACTGTTCAAACAGAGCCTCTTAAAAACCACTTGCTATATAATATCATGTAGAACTATCTGTTTTCATATCTGACCCAGTGGGGGGAGGGTTAGAAGCCAAACCTGCTAAACCCCCCCCCCCCCCCCCCACCCCGCCTGTTAGCTAGTCTTTCATCAGGCTGAGCTCGTAATGGAGGTCTGGCTATGATAGCACCTCTAGGGCAGGAACATGTTTTGTTGGACAGACTTTCATGCTGTTTTTTATTCCGCTGACTGCTTTCCTCTCCAACTGCCTTCATGTGCTTTTTTCTACTTTCTGAACCTCTAGTTTCTTACAGATTAAGGATAAAGACCCAAATCTCACTTTCTCTCCATTGTTTTGTCTGGAGCTTCTGGATCTTACAGTGAAAGCACAACTTGTGTCCAGGGTTTGATCCTCTGTCCATCCCCCTCTACCCTTCCTGGCCAATCTTGTTTTACTGCCTTTGCTCTTTGCCTGTTTAGTCATGGCATTCTGTGCCCCGGCCTCAGATTTCATTAATTATTAATGACCCAGGGGTTGGCACATCTCTCGAGGCTCTTTGGGTCCTTAACCTGAAGGCTTGACCAAGCCGTAGTTTTCTGCTGTTTACTCAGCTCTGGCGCGTGACCTCTCCACTAGAGCCATAGAGCACAAGTTGAACGATAATGGCAACTCGCTAAAAAGGTTGAGCTGAAGCTGAAAAATCGATCTGGACGTAACAACTCTCTGGTTCAACATGTTCTTGCGTCCGATGAAGTCATAGCACCATTATTTGTGGTTTGTGTGAACCTTGCTCAGTCATTTGTTTAGGCAGACAGGCTTTGAAGATCAAGTGAACAATAAGGTTATAATAAATCTGGAAAGTTCACTTATTCTTTTTGTTCTGTTGACTTCTAGTTCAGGAGATCAAGAATTCCAGAAGGCTTAAGATAAAAACTCAGAGACACAGTCCGACCTGACAGGCACACAATGGTTACATTTTAAAAATGCTAAATATGAACCCAAAAGATAGTTGAAGGAAATTGAAATTTGGCAGAACTTTTGACTGCACTCCTGCTGTACATCTGGGCAGGAAAAGAAAGGCCAGCTTATCTGCCTTGAATTAACTGGGGGAAAAAGGAAAGATGGTTCAAATTGGATAAAAAGTTACAGTCTGTGACTGAAATGCATTAAAAACTGGATGACAGAATGGACACGTATAAACAAAGAAAAGAAAAAAAAACACAAAATGTCTCAAGAAAAGTCAAATGAGTGATTTCTCATTTAAACATGAAGTAGAAGTTGTGCATTTTAGAACATCTTCACAGAGTCAATTTTCTTTCAGGAGGTTTTGTTTAAATCATTTACACTTTTTGGAGAAAGTGGCCAGTAGTTGCTAAACCCAATTCCTCTTAAAACATAGTTGACACCGACACGTCATCACTGCAAAAATGATGTCATGCTGGATGAAACAGCAGGCCCTGGGCTGAATATTTTCAGAGCAAACAAACAGGACGCTTTTGTGTTTGCTGAAGTGGAGCAGTCTGATGTAACTCCTGAGCGGTGAGCCGCATTCCTCTGCCTGTGCTGAGGTATTCCTATGGATCAAGAAGATGAGATTGGACAGCGGAAGGCTGTTTTGACAAGTTCTGTTTGAAGCCGCGCTGCTGTTATCCTGGACTGGTTCTTGGCTCCAAGGCAACCTTTTTTGGAGGCATCCTGGTTCTGGTCACCAGTACCAGTAGAACAGGTTCAACAACACACCAAATAAAAAAAGAAGAATTTCAAAAGTAGTATGTTGGAAAAAAATATGGAAGAGTTTGCCATTAAAAACTGGTGAACAAACAGCATAGCAAAAATGAAAGAAGAAACCAGACAGGTCAAGGATAAAGTAGTCTGGCCGTTGCCTTTCTACACGACGATTCCCATCTCCTTTCAGCGCTGCAGCTGGAATTTGCTCCATTGAGCTCAATTTCTCAGGATCCATCTCATCCTGGCCAATAAGTGAATAGAAGGGAGGAGCTGTGAACCATGATGTTGAATTTCTGTGCTATTTTTGCACTGTGGTTTTAGAGGAAGTGAACAGAGGAAGTTGGCCAGACAGATAAAGCTTGATCTAAATTTCTACCTTGTTAATTGGGCCCAGTAAAAGCAGCTGGAAGCAAATGAATAGAGGTCTTGATAGGTGAGATATGCCAGTTAAACAATGAGCAGGTCCATGTTGAACAAGCTGTTGAACAAGCATGTGGCAGGAATGCATGAATGCTCGACTGTTGTAAAGCAAGGCAATGCTGTAAAAGATGTCGTTCTCTTTTCGCAAAGAGGGAAGGTTGTTCCAATAAGTTTTGTTGTGCAACTGGTGGACCACATACATCACAACCAAATGTTAATGACTGGATAAGATTACATCCAATTGTTTTCCAGTAAGCTGAGACTCTACAGTCTGGATGAAGCAACAAGGAAAAAACAGTATTCCATTCTTTGAACATCTCATGAAGCTATGTGTCCATTTACCATCTGAAAATGGAGTATAACACAAATAGCAAACATATCAAGGGATGGTCGTCCAACTAAATCCACTGGCCAGGCAAGGAGAGTCAACTGAGCTCAGGTGGGAGACTTCTGACTGGAGAACTCTCCATAATGTGGCCCTTCTGGCAGAGAGGCAAGAAGAAAACCATTGTTGATTTTCTACATGTCCCAGGCTATTTTTTGAAGCAGTCTGTAAGCCATGCAACAGTAACCCTGCAGCATATATGTAAGATACTGTACACTTCTTGGCCCCATACTTAACCAGCAGCCATTGTCCCCAAAACAACGGCTCCGCGATTGGATTTCCATGTTGTGAAGCTCCCAAAGCTAGCGGCACTGCTTGGGAGCGTCTAAAGAGAGGTGAAAGGTGATCCCAGTGGCTTAATGTCATTTTCCTCCTCTCCCTGTGGCCCCTGGGCCCTGTGTGAATAAACATACTAATGCCTGAGTGTGAAGCCTTGGACCGGGTTACTCACAAAAGTGCTTTTGAATATACAAACTGCATCTGAGGTGCAAAAATAGTGTAACAGCAGTACCGCTAAAGTACGAAAATACACACCGCGTTGCTGAGGCTTATTAGCTCAGAGTTGGCAGACCTGCGCACATGCTCGGACGCAGTCTGTCTCGCAGGGGTGCTCAGCTGGCTGCCTCTCTGGCAAAACAGACCTTTGACCTCTGGGTTGTTTGTGAAATATTACGCACCAGGCAGCGGAGCGTTTTGGTTGTCGTGTGAAAATGCATTTCTGAGAGATGGCAAAATGCAAAACAAAATGAAAATGAACATGTGCTGGTCAGGGTGGGCATCGGGGACGCTGGAGCGCGCAGCGCAGGCCTCCGTCTGGTCTCTGACACACACGACACTCTGCAACCTGAGTCTGTAGCAGTAATTAACGTGATGTGTTGGCGTGTAGGTGTGTGTACGTGTGTGTGCCCAGAAGCACAGCTGGCTGTGAAAAGGCCGTACACGGTGTCATGTGTTAATGTCAGTTTGCATGTGTGGGCGCTGTGGAGAACCAAGTGTTGGAGAATAAGAAGAGCTGACAGTAAGGTGAGGACAGGGCCATGGAGCTGCCCTGAAGATGTCAACAGAGACAACAGAGACAGGGTGGGCGGTGGAGGGGGCTAGGTCACCTTTGGGGTTATGAGCGGGACTGAGAATCACAAGTACAAAAGATCAATACAAGTAAGGCATTATATGTAATAAATATCAGGCCTTTTCAGACCAGAAAGACATTTTTTAATAAATATGAGCAAACTATATTTTTTGTAGTGTAAATGGCAGACAGAGTTTATTATGTCAGGTATCAAGTATGAAAGTAGTTCCACATGAGCACTTTAGGAACTAGCATGTGGCTTTAGCTTTGACTTCTATAAAAAAGTGACTGTTTTGAATACTCTGGCCTCTCAGTAGCTGTCATATTGTCATAATTTTGTTTTTTCCAAAAAGATAAAATAAATAAAAAAGAATAGGAATGGCCAGGCACCTGACCACTGCCAATTTCTGTCACTGCTATCCAACACAGAACGTTTGAGGAGTGATTGCATTCCAGATAAAGTAGGGACAGTGACAGTCAAGAGTTGTGTGACCCTGAAACCACAAGGTCACAGTTCCTGCTGCAGCCCCCAGGGGTTGGAGGCTGCAGCAGCAACTGTGAGGTCTTTGTTCTGAGCGTGAAAAGTGAGACAAATGCAAAATGTTTACACACACATTTTCATAAACTTGGCAAAGCTTTGCAACAACACTGTTTAAATCCAATGCTGAGTCCAGGTTATCTAACATCTAAGAGTGGTTCAGATATTTATCATACTCAAACAACTGCTACAAAAAAGCTTAAGTTCATTCACATTCAATTTAGCTGCAAAGAGTCTTTTATTCCACAGCATATTCTCCTGAGAGTTCTTGTTAAATTTTATTAAGATTTGTTGTGAAATTCTCAGTAAATGCTCAGCCACTTATGCCTGTGTCTAAGTGTGAAGAAACACAGTGAACCAATCTACCTCTAAAGACAACTGGTGTTATAAATATATCAAAACTTTGCTTTTGTTCTACTTCACAATAATGCACAACTTTGTGTTAGTCAAACACATAAAAGCTGAAAATAAAACAAAACATGCTTGTAGTCGTAATGTGAAAAAATCAGAGAAAGCACAAGACAACGTTTAAGATGCCACTCATCTGCTCCATAGTTTGAAAACCCTTTGATGAAACAAAAAGAAAAAAAGACCCCTAAATTAGATTTTGTACCTTTGGGATTTTCTTAAGCCCTGTAATGTG